TTGATAAGATCCCTTGTATACTTGGCTTGATTGATGAGAGTGCCTTCACTTCTCTGTTTGATTTGAAGGCCAAGGAAGTAGTTGAGTTCCCCCATCATGCTCATCTCAAATTTTCCTTGCATGAGGGTTGAGAACTTGGTGCAGAGATTTTCCTTAGTTGAGCCAAATATGATGTCGTCCACATAGATTTGGACTAATAGGAGATCTTCTCCTTCTTGTAGTTTGAACAATGTCTTGTCAATGACTCCTTTAGTAAATCCATTGTCTATAAGAAATTGAGACAATGTATCATACCAAGCTCTTGGTGCTTGTTTGAGTCCATATAGCGCCTTTTTGAGTCTATACACTTGATCTCCCTTAGTGTGTAACTCAAATCCTGGAGGTTGTTCCACATAAACTTCTTCCTCGAGGTTTCCGTTGAGAAATGCACTTTTGACATCCATTTGGTAGACCTTGAAGTCATTGGGAGCAGCAAAGGCTAGAAACAGCCTTATAGCTTCAAGTCTAGCAACTGGAGCGAAGGTTTCATCAAAATCTATACCTTCTTCTTGACAATATACTTTTGCAACTAGCCGGGCTTTGTTTCTGACAACAACGCCGTTTTCATCCATCTTGTTCCGGAAGACCCACTTTGTCCCAATGACATGTTGATGAGTAGGTCTGGGAACAAGTTTCCAGACGTCATTTCTGGAGAATTGGTTGAGTTCTTCTTGCATTGCATTGATCCAGTCAGAATCAGCTAGAGCTTCTTCAATATTCTTTGGTTCCACTTGTGAGATGAAACAAGCAAGCATAGCTTCCAGATTCTGTTGGGCACTCCTTGTGCGAACACCAGATTGAATATCTCCAATGATCTGTTGAGGAGGATGATCCCTTAACCAACGAAGATTGTGTTGATTGGGATTGACTGGTTGATATAGTTCAGCTTCTGGTTGAAGAACAGAGGTTGTTGGTGTTTCCGGATAGATTGGCACTGGGTCGCCATTTCCGGAATTGTCGCCGTTTGAGATATCCGGAATATTGGAAGGCTGGCCAAGATTTCCGGAGGGCTCAGCACTGTCTAAATCCGGATTCCTCTGTGAAGTCTTCAGAGGCAGACTTCTAAATGGAATGAACTCCGTAGGCTTCATTCTATCTCCTTCATTGACTTCTTCATCCTTGTCTGATAGATCCAGAACCTCATGATCATGCTTTGATGGCTTGTCAACCACATGTTTTTCATCAAAAATGACATGTATTGACTCTTCAGTGATCATGGTTCTTTTGTTGAAGACTCTGAATGCCTTGCTTACCATGGAATATCCTAGGAAGATGGCCTCATCTGATTTCTCATCAAACGTGTTCGGATGATTTTTCCCGTTGTTTAACACAAAGCATTTGCTCCCAAAAATATGGAAATATGATATATTAGGCTTTCTCCCGTTCCACAGTTCATAGGGAGTTTTGTTGTGCCTTTTATAAATCATACTCCTATTTTGAGTATAGCAGACTGTGTTAACAGCTTCAGCCCAGAACCTCTTTGGTAAGGAAGCTTCTGCTAGCATGGTTCTCACTGCTTCCTTCAGGGTTCTGTTCCTTCTTTCAGCTACACCATTTTGTTGAGGTGTCCTTGCTGCAGATGTCTGATGAAGAATTCCGTTTTCTTCACAGTAGTGAATGATGATTTCATTCAGGAATTCTGTGCCTTTGTCAGATCTGATCTTCTGAATGGTCTGACTTGCTTGGTTTTGAATCAGCTTCATGCAGTTGGTGAGTTTCCCTTGAGTCTCCTTCTTGC